AATTAATTATGTGACAAACAGAGAAACGCTAACAAACGAAGAGGAAAACAAGCTAAGCGCATTATTACGAGCGATGCTCATCAAATCGTTATTTACAAAAAGCGAACCGTGACTCTTCACCCGTGATGCAGACAGATAGAGAATAAAACGAATAGACTAATTCATAACATCAACATATGATGTGTCAGATGCGATGTCAGAAACAGACATATCTGAACATGAATTTGCACTACCAAAGTTGTCACTACTAGAGGCTTGACCGGAATTAACGGAACTGACGAGATGCCCAAAATCGAAAGAATCCGTAGACACTTTACCCTCCATTACAGCTTGAACCATGAGGGCCTTGTTGACCTGAATGTAGGATGTGATGTGAAAAGATGATAGATTTTTTGTCAGTAAAGACAGGAATATTGGCATACTACGAGTAAAAAAATTTCGGGAATGTTCAGCTCTCAAGAAGCTTCTTGGCCTTCAATTTGACAAAACGTGTAGCAAAAGGCGATTACCTCGAGAAGTTCACTACTGCTGATCAACAGCAGACGAACATATGAGGACCGATGCAAATTTTAGAAAGAAAAATTTGAAAAAAATGATATTCCATAGAATGAAAACACACCTTCTCTTTGACGTTATCTGCCAACTGCGACTTCAACCATTCTCTATCTACCGAGGAGTTTACCTTGTCGGCTATCTCAGGCACGTACCTAGAAAGTCCATACAATTACGCCGTAGTGTAAGCTCTACAACTGCTTACTTTGTGCGCAGATGATGCCTAATCATACTCCTCAGATCTTCTTTGGACAAGCGTTCAGGATTGCATCGTACCATGTTACGGATGTCTACAGCTACCCTTTTCTAGAGGAAAAAGTTATTGATTCGTGAGGATAAAATCACTTGTAAAGATATTCGACTGTGCCTGCAGTAAATAGCAAGCAAGAGTGCACGAAATGCACAACTGCAATAACGTTTAGAAAATGCAATGAACCCAGCATACAACTTAACTTTTGAAAAGTAAACACATTTTGAATGTTTTACCCCAAGATATTCCACACAGAAAAGCAGGTCATGAACTAATCATTGAATTGATTTATAAGCTTTTAGTTAACAATTGAAGAAAATTCTGAAGAAAAAATTGACAGTCTGTAAAAAAACCAAGAAATCTTCAAATTTAACGAGCACCGATAATAACGACTAACTCTTTTCTTACGGCAATTTAAACATGGAGATTTTCTGTTCCCATAAGTAATTGAAGAAAGAAGTTCGAGCCATTAATTTTTTAAAGAGCTCCATCTAGCCTGCATGTAGTAGATAGCCGGCCCCTATTATCCCTTAAAAAAATCTTATTCTATCAAACTTCGCTGCTTAATATTCAGAACCTTTCCAAAAGAGGCACGTTTAGAAATGCTTCTTACGACCATCTCATTAATTATGGAAGTTTTATCACAATAGTAGTGCTGTAGAAATGCGCAGAAGTATACTAGTTAACAGCAGAAATATAAGGTAGAATCACAGACTTTCGAAAGAATGTTCTCAAAAATAATGGTAAGTCAGAGATATATGGTAATCGTTCCACAAGTGTAGACCATGTCACTGCATTTGGCCCTTTGCCGAAAAAGGATAACCGAAATCAACATCCAAAGAAACCAGAAAAGGAAAGAAAGTCACCTGCAAATCGTCAAGGAATCCATCGGAGTTAACAATAGCAAATGCCTGCTTCCTCACAACATCAAAGGTCCCTTCACGTTTGACTGATTTCTCGATATCAAGCTTGATGTCCGACACTTTGCGAAACGAACTCATCTGGAAGTGAATTAAAAACTTAAGGAAAAAACAACTCAATTTCAAAAAACAAATATACTCCAAAAGCAACAGTTGTATAGAAATCAGCCCAGCACGCACTGGATCGGTTTTAGGCGTAAAAACGTTGTCTGCATTCACACCAGGGACCTCACAACTTACGACAAAATAAATAATATTCTCTGATTTTTTGCTTCTAACTTCAAATTTCAACCCTGTATTCATGTAAATGTACGTTTTTGGGGATTTTTTCATTTCCTAAAAATTTTGTTGAGTTTGTTTTCAAGTTTCCTTGTATTTCAAATTTGTATGTTCTTTTGCATGATCTCATTACAAGTCAAGCAGCTCATTGATATTGGCGGGTAAGTCTCATTTAATATTAGCTTTTCATATG